ATCTATCTATCTATCTATCTATCTATCTATCTATCTATCTATCTATCCATCTATCCATCTATCCATCTATCCATCTATCCATCCATCCATCCATCCATCCATCCATCCATCCAAAAAACCCTGCAGTATGACTTTTTATAATTGTTTATTGTTGTTGCTGTTGTCCATTCATAATAATAATAATGTCATCACAATGTCAGCACTGTATGTTTCCATACAATGGCGAAATTAGTCTCTGCATTTAACCCATCCACCACCAGGTGGTGCAGTGGGCAGCTATTGAAAGCGCCCGGGGGGGCATTTTGGGGATGAGGCATGCTGCCCAGAGACGCCACGTGATGTGCAGTGACTGGGGATCGAGCCTGGGACTTTTGGGTCCCAAGCCGGCTGCCTTGCCTCTACACCATCTCGGCCCCCATGTCATCATTCTTTGTTAAATCAGGTCTCTCTTGTAAATGAGTCCTCGAGGCTCAATGGGATTTACCTGAATAAATAAAAGTTGATTGATAATGTCCAGAGAGCTTCATTATATCTCACACTAACATAAATACTGTTTATTATTGTTAAACTTATTATTTAGCACATTTAGATGTTATAGTGCAGCGCGACGTGTGCACGTGCCTCGTTCTATAAACAGCGACATTAGAACTGGATCAGACTGTGTCTCTTCCAACACAGATGTCGGTCACAGCACCTGGAATCTGACGTAGATTAACTACGAGATTAAAAACATATTCCATCAGTCGTAGTTCAGAAAGCGCTGTGTCCGCTGCCATGTTGATAGAAATATAGCGTCTGTCCGCACGTGCACATGTGGTTTAACACAAAGCCTCAGTGGGAGATGTTTACATTATCAGTGGGGGGTCAGAGAAAAACCTCCACTGTGGAAGGTGGGTTCAGAAACATCTGGATTCAAAGAGGGGGGCACTGGTGTCGTGTAGATGATCAGCAGAACCGCAGAGAGAAAGAAGTGGATGCACTCAAAATACGCGCCGTGTAAACGGCCCCTAAAGAGACTGAGTTTTTTGCAGCACCTCAGACTGAAAAAGTATTTTGGATAAAAGACAAAACGTTTCATCAAGTTATTTGATTTTTATTTATTTATTTTTTCTCCATCCATAGGACCTGACTTAACTTTGTTAGATGTGTCTTATACAGGCGTCACTTTTCTCAACTTAAAATTGTGGAAAGTTTAATTCAAGATGAAATTTGTGATGAAAGATTTCTAATCGCATTAAATCCACCAAAAATGATGGATAGAATCAAGTTTGATGAATAATGAGATCACGTAGAGCTCTATGCCTTTTCTTTAATCTCTGGTTCAATATGACTGTCTAACAAAGTTCTAAATATTATTTTGAAATAAACATATTTTGCCCCACCTTATATTTCAGAACTTTTGAAAGTCCACCAGCCCAGCAGAGCTTTACGGTCTGCTGGTCAAAATCTGCTGGTGGTGCCTTGCTCAAGGTGCAAACAATGGGGGGACCGGTCCTTTTCTGTTGCAGGCCCATCAGCCTGGAATACTCTTCCCTATGAGCTGCGTGCCATCTCTGATCTGGTTCTGTTCAAAGCCAAACTGAAAACATACTTATTTAAAAGGGCTTTTAATGTTTAACTTTTAGTAGTTTAGTATTTACTATTTATTTTTTTATTTTATCTCTTTTACCTTCTTTTATTCTCGCTGTGTTTTTAATTTGCACTGATGTATTGTGTCCTGTTTTTAATCTTGTTTTGTCTTGTGAAGCACCTTGGTCAATGCAAGGCGTTGTTGGAAGGTGCTATAGAAATAAAGTTTATTATTGTTATTATTATTATTATTTAGTTCATATTAAAGCTATTGAAATATATTTTGCCCAGATGTCTGAATAAAATTGGCCAATGTCAACCTTTCACACCCAGGTGGACCCCATGTTTCAGCGACTGGCCTCATCCTTTGATGAGACGAGCACGGCGGGTGTCTTCCTGTCCGTCCTCTTCAGTGACAGCAGTCGTTGTGAGCTGCTGTTTCCCTCACACATGACCCTCCTGCAGTCCAGACCTTTCTACTCTCTTCCAACTCCACAGAAAGTCTCTGCATCACCGTTCAAACGTAAAAAAACAACCAACCAATTACTTAATCAGTGACACCTTTTGTCTTTTCTTAACCTTATCTCTATAAAAAATGCTAAACAATGTTTTCTACCAGCTGGACTGCAACGTTCCCAGGAGGAAAGCTCCATCTGCCCGTCGCTGCAGGACTTTTCCTTCACAAGCTGGAACCCGGAGCAGGTCAGTTAACCATAGAACCATCATGTTATAATGTACATACAAACTTGTTGCTTTTCAGCAAAATTTGACGATTTCAAGCAAAAATGTGTCATTTAGGTGAATCACCTAAATCCAAAGCTTTTTTTTTTCCAGGGTGGGGTGGGGGGGTCAGAGGCGTGGTAGACGGCATAATTTCCCATTCACTGGACTTACATAGCCCTAAGCTAGGGCTACATAAGTCGCGCTAGCTAGCTTGCAACAAAGCTCACTCTAGCTCGTCTAAGCTAACACACTTACACAGCGCTACATAAGTTCCGGCAGTTGTTGACCGGGGGAAGGGGGTTTCGATTCATTGGAGTAGCAGAGCGTTATATCTGAAGCATCTTAGCTAGCGTGTCTGTATTGTGCTCTGCTAGTTTTGCTATATTTGGTTTCTCTGGTTGGCTTGCTGTTGTTGTTGCTTGTTTGTTTATTTTTTGGTGACTAGCCGTCTTTCCTGCATGTGTCCTAATCTAAATACATAAGGATATGTTAATAAATGTATTGTTTACCTGAAGCATTTTGTCTTTTCCCCTATTTTATTTTTTCTTGGGAGTATACTAGAATTCTTAATTTTTATGTTAAAAAATCACTAAATCTTCTGTGTGTATATGTGTGGGGGGAGGTTCTATGCACCCCCCCACTGCCACCGCAGGTGCTATGTTTGTTACCTTTTTCATCCCTTGTGAGTTTGCAGGTATGACTCTTTCAGTGTAATTACCGTAGTCACTCCAAACCAGCTTGCTGAAACTTTACTCTTTGTAGATTTGATTAAAAGGTATCTGAAAACTTACTTTGTACTAGGGCTGGACGATATGGCCAAAACTTTTATCACGATATATCTCTTAATTTCGGTCGATAACGATGTAATTTAATATCAATATAAATAATATAAAAGCCTCCGAAAAACTGTACAAACTGTACATATAAATTAATGTTCACCTTTTAATTGTACCCTTCAAATAATTTCGAAATCACCATCAAATAAACATAAAACTCTCAACTTTGTCAATTTCTTTTAAATGTATTAATTCATTTAAGAGAAACAAAATAAACAAAACAAATTCATCAAAAAGAAAAAAAAACATTGAATGAAAAGGGTGCAGAAAGAAGAAAATCTTATAATATCTGCCCCTTAGTAAAAAAATAAATAACTAAAAAAACCAACTCAGGCTTGAACAATCTCCAAAGCGAAAACAAAATCATCAGGCATTCTTCACATGATACCATACTTTCCCAACAACTTTAACTTGATCATCTTTTTAAACATATAAATTGTTTTAGAAATTTTTATGGTGATATCAAGACAATTCCACATCCTGTTCCCTGAGTTACAACACAGCTCCTTCACACTAGTTCTAAATGGAGGTTTTACAAACATTTACATTCTCTTAAGGTTATAATAACTCTCTTTTTTAACAAATTTTAATTGAATATTTGGGGCTAATATTTTTACGAGCTTCATACATGACTTGTAAAATACTATATTCAACCAAATCATAAAATTTTAATAATTTCAATTGATTGTTTGAATGACTAAATGATGAAATAATATATTTGTTGGGTGACCAGAGCACTTCCTACTAATAATTCTTATAGCTATTTCTGTAAAATAAAAATAGGGTTTGTAATTGTTTTGCACGCTTTTCCCCAAACTTCAATAGATTAAATATGCAACAATCATTACATTATACAATATATATATATATATAAAGCTTTGTCATTCAAAAACTCTTACTTTATTTTACTATTTTTATTCTTAAGTAATTTACATAAGATTTCCATGTCATCTTCTCATCAATAACGACATATATTAATAGTTTTAACTTTAAACACCATAACATAACCCATGCAGCAGACATTTGCTGCATGGGTTTCTCTTGATACAGCTGCGGGTGTTTCAGGGACACGTTGGCTCAAACTTTTATTGTGGTTCATCTTCTGACTCAGCATATTCTATCGAGTGGAAACTCTTCAGACGGAACAAGTTAGATGTTCCCACCGCTAGCTGCAATGACTCTCCGTCACATTTTGCAGCATTGAAACCTGCAGTTTATCGGATCTTAGAAAGCTGAACCACTTCCACACCACCAAATTAGTCTTTTCTCTGTCGAGGAAAATCAACACAACAACTCAGGACTTTTCAGCCTATTCACCTGTTCCTCTCATTGGTTCGGAGATACATGGATAAAAGACACAATAATCAGTCAGAGAGATTCAAGTTAAAAAGTATTTCCAACATTTATTAAAGTTTTCAGCTGAAAGGAGAAACTCTTACCCCAAACCAACAGAGATACAACAAAAACCCAAGTCGCGTCTGACCGGAGCTTTCAGGTTCCTCTGTATTTAAACACAAAAGCTCCACCCAGCGACGTGTCACACATTCTTACAGCTCTTTGTCTAAACTAGTTCAAACTGATGTCTTCATTTCCTGGAAGCCCTTTTATGGAGTTGTTTTATTATTTTCTTCTGCCGTTCCAGTTTACTGGTGATCTTGTCATCAGGTGGGACACACACCAGCAGCTCCGTTAGTTCATGTCCCGTACACAAAAACTCAAATACATTCTCTGACTTAGTTCAATCTGTACTTTTTGATACCAAAAGACAAGCAGATCCAAAAGCCAAGCAGATACAAAGGACAAGATACAGTAGATAAGACCGTCTTTACACCTCTCTTATCAGTTATGTCATCTGCTTTCTCTTCCCTTGTGAAAGCTTGTTCAGTCACATTCTGACGGTCATGGGCACTTATTTTGAAACGAAAACTGAACGTGCATTGAAGATTAGCCTAGCCTAGCCTGCTACCGCTGACTCCTTCTGAACTCAAGTTCTGTGTAACATCTACGTCACAAAGCATTTACGTAGTTGTGTCGCATCTTTTTCTGTCCAGGCTGAAACTGAAGCTGCCGCTTCAACCCGAACAAAAGAAGAAATGCGTCAGTGAAACGCTGTAATTATATCAAAATATCGAAAATGTGCTTAAAACTCATATCATCGTTATTGAATAAAAGTATATCGCGAAATATATCGATATCGAATTATTGTTCAGCCCTACTTTATACATATGAGATTTAGCAGACTCACAGTGTTTTTAGAAATTTTCAAGCTTTCAATGTCAGATTTTTAGTCATTTAACTTTGTTTTAAAAATACACTGATTTTGTGATAAGTTGTTGTTACTGAAGTACATGTATGTATTTTTTTAAGTTTGTTGCAAATCCTAAAGTTGCAGTTGGAAAATTATATTTTATTATGTGTATAAACAATATTTTTATTGATTTTTGGTGTTTGTTTTTAAGGTGGAATGAAATACACAACAAATAACTTTAAGCATAAAAAATTTATGGCAGTGAAGTATGTTAGACTGGTACAGGACATGTATCAGGACAGCAGGACAGCGATGAGATGTGCTGTCGGAGTGACGGATAGTTTCAAGTTGGAGGTGGGAGTGCATCAATGATAGACTCTGAGCCCCTTCTTGTTTGCTCTGATGATGGACCGACTAACAGATGAGGTCAGGCAGGAATCCCCATGGACTATGATGTTTGCAGATGATGTTGTGATCTGTGGTGAGAACAGGGCACAGGTGGAAGAGAACTTGGAGAGGTGGAGGTATGCACTTGAAAGAAGAGGAATGAAAGTCAGCCGTAGTAAGACAGAGTCCATGTGTGTGAATGAGAGGGAGGAGGTGGAACAGTGAGGCTAGAAGGAGCAGAGGTCACAAAGGTGCAGGACTTAAGGACTTGGGGTCCACTTTCCAGAAAAATAGAGAGGGTTGTAAGAGGTGAAAGAGAGTCCAGGCAGGACGGCGTAAATGGAGAAACGTTTCAGGAGTGATTTGTGACAAAAGGGTGTCAGCAAAAGTCAAAGGAAAAGTTTACAAGACAGTGGTGAGACCAGCTAAGCTGTATTGTCTGGAGACAGGCGGACCAAAAGATAGGAGAAAGATCTGGAAGTTCTAGAAATGAAGATGTTGAGGTTCTCCTTAGGTGTGACATGGATGGATAAGTTTAGGTTCAAGGTGACTTTATTGTCATCCACGTCACATGTGGTAGGAGATGGAAAGAAATTATGTACTCAAGGTCCAGTTACACCCAAAAATAGCAAGATTATATTAGGAATGAGATCATTAGAGGTACAGCACAGGTTGAATAACTGTGAGATAAAGTTAGAGAGGCCAGACTGAGATGGTTTGGACATGTCCAAAGGAGGGACAGTGGTTATATTGGTAGAAGGATGTTCGAAATGCAGCTGCCAGGAAAAAGACAGAGAAGATATATGGATGCAGTTAGAGAGGACATGGAGGTAGTTGGGAGTGAGGACAGAGGATGCAGAGAACAGTGCGATGCAGGACGATGACTTGCTGTGGAGACCCCTGAAGAGGGAAAAGCCAGTAATTTATTTATATTTTGGATTCTCTCCAACTGACACAGGGTCAAAATTGTTCATACAGGTTCAGGTATAAAATGCTTGATATAACTAAACTAATGTTTTGGATCTGACCAACTGGACTTTCAGGGTCCTGGACAGGGTCCTGGAGAACCCTCATCTGCTCGGACAAGACGCATGCAGCTGGATATAACTCTGGGGTTGATGTGTTTACCTCTGCTATCGAACGAGGACGCCGAAATTGCATATAATTGGAATTATGATGACAGGTTTCCTGTTTTTGGAATAGTCTGGATCCTGGTTTATCAACATACAAAGAAGACGGTCACAGCTAAGTTGCCCCTCGTCAGGCTGTTGCCTATGTGAAGGTTGGTCTGTGCTTTGAGGACTCAAAATCAGCTGATTTATGAGCTAAACCATATGTTTGAAGTGATTTGAATCACATGCCACCTGCGGCTTTGGGACTTGTCAGTATGAAAACCATCTTGAAGAGGCTCGTAAGCACGGACTAGCAGAATGCGCCCTAATCTGGCGATTTCGAACCTTGGAAAGTTATCAGTACAGACTCAAGGCTGACAAGAAAAATAGTCTGCC